AACAACAACAACAACAACAGCATAGTAAACCATAGTGTTGCCTGACTCAAAATGGCCGATATGTGTCCATTTCAGCTCATGAATGCATAGGGTGTTGATTTCTATGCGTTTTATTTTATTTTTATTTATTGCATGTTTGATGCCTGCCAATTTTCCTAGATACATACTTAGTACATCCCACATTCATGTTTTCAGTGGATTTTTGCAACTATTTTTTCTCATTTTGAGAATGCCCCATTAGCACATGAAGAGCCTGCAAAGTTTGCTCCATCCACATCATTAAGGGCAACTCTACTTTGAGGAAGCAGTTCTTTCTCAGTCATATTTTGAGTGCCTTCCAACTTGAAGGGCTCTTCAGACAATATTTTGCTTCTATTCATAAGGTTTTTAGGGGATAATCTCTCAGAAGTAGACTGCCTCTTCCTTCTTTCTAGTCTACTCTTATTCTGGAAGCTCCTCTGAAACCTGTCCACCATTTATACCCTGCTGGCATTTGAAACACTAGCAGCATAACTTCCACCATCAGAGCAACATGTTAGCCACAGCAGTATGACAAACTGACAACTGTGTGGAGAAGTTAAGTTTAGATCAATTTAAATTACTGAGTCATTGCAAAAATTTGTACTGAGCAGATTATCAGGAGTTCTGGGTTCTAACATCGAACAATTCTCTTTTTTGGGTCAACTGTGAGCTCCAAAGTGTCCTTCCCAAAGCCATGTATCTCATTAAGGCTTTGCTCATACGAGAATGTGACTGACTGAGCTCAGAGGGAGATTTTGTCATCTACATCAGGCTCCATGGATATCAGACATATGAGATAACCTCAGTGCTGGGACTTGTTAGGTATTCGCTATTTTAGCATTTGGGGAAACCATCAACAAATTATGGTGAACACGCAAGAAGCAAAGTGCTGTGAGTAGTGTGGTAAATGAAATAGAGGTGCATATTATAATCTGCATTTTGCAAATGGGGAAATTGATCCAAAGGTAATGCTGTAGAACAAACAAGATGGAGGATCGAGTGGAAGTGTAGTAAAGAGCTCCACCAGCAACAACACAGAATACCCAACCAAGCAGACTCAGGGGATGGTCCCAGAACTCTGAACC